CCTCTGCGTCTGCTGGTGTTCTCTCTCTGTGCATCTGTCTTCCCGAGACACGCTCTTCTCTGCCAGTCTTCTGCTGTTCTTGCTGGGATGCCAATCACATGGGATTGTGGGCCCACACTAATCCAGGATGACCTTGTCATAATTTAACTAATTATACCCACGGAGACTCCATTTCCAAATATGGGCACGTCCACAGGTACCTGAGGTTAGAATTTCAGCAAATCTTTTTAGGGGCTACAATTCAACTCACTATAACCATGATATACTATCCTTTTTGTATATTTCTGGATTCAATTTGCTAATCATTTATGTTCATGAGAGGTATTATTTTGTAATTTTATTGTCTTATAATGGGTTGTCTGGATTTAGGACGAGCTGAGTGCCAGCCCCAGGAAGTGAGCTGGGAAGTGTTGGTCCTTGCTTGCTTTCTGGTAAGAGTTTGTGTATGGTTAGTATCTTTTTTCCCCAAGTGTCTGTTAGAACTCACCATTGGAACCATCCGGAGTTCTCTCTATTTTTCTTTCAAGTTCAGTTTCTCTGTTAGATATAAGGCTATTCTTTTTTCTTAAATTTATTCTTGCATCAGCAGTGATGGTTTGTGTCTTTCAGAGAATTTGTCAATCTAATCTAAGTTGTCAGATCTGTTGGCGTCTTTGTTCATGACATTTCTTATCATTTCATGTCTGCAGCATCTGTAGCAGTGTTCATGCTCTTATTCCTGATACTGGTAATTTCTGTTTTCCCTGATCAGTCTAGAAGCTCATCAATTTTATTGACTGTTTCAAAGAATCAGCTTCAGGTTTTATTCATTTTCTTTATTATGTTTCCATTTTCCATTTCCTAAATTTCTTCCCTTATTTTATTATTTCCTTCCATGTACTTAGGTTTGTTTTGTTCTTTAATGCGGGAGCTTAGCCACTGATTTTATACCTTTCTTTTGTGATATAAACATTCATAACTATGAATTTCCCTCTACTTACAACTTTAGCTGCATCCCAGTGTTTTGTTTTTTTTTTTTTAAGATTTTATTTATTTATTTGAGAGAGAGAGAATGAGAGAAAGCACATGAGAGGGGGGAGGGTCAGAGGGAGAAGCAGACTCCCCGCCAAGCAGGGAGCCCAATGCGGGACTCGATCCAGGGACTCCAGGATCATGACCTGAGCCGAAGGCAGTTGCTTAACCAACTGAGCCACCCAGGCACCCTGCATCCCAGTGTTTTGATAAATATTTCTCTCTCTCTCTCAATAAATAAATAAATATCATTCAGAATACTTTCTATTTTCCTTTGTGTGTGTAGTGGGTTGAATGGTGGCTCCAAAGATATGTCCACATCCTCATCCCTGGAACCCTTGAATATCACCTTACATGGCAAAGATGTAATTGTGTTGAGGGTCCTGTGAGGGGATTTTATCCTGGACTCTCCAAGTGGGCTACGTGCATCCTTGCAAAAGACGCAGAGGGGGTTTTGACAGAGACGAGTACAGGGGACAACATGAGGCAGGCAGGAGGGATGCTCACACCCACCGCACCCCCGGGGCCCCCAAGAACTGCAAGAGGCAGGAAGGTTGCTCCCCAGGAGGCTCGGTCAAGCACCACTCCACGGCACTCTGGTTTCAGTCCGTTAAAACTGATTACGGACTTCTGGCCTCCATGACTCTGAGAGAATAAAGTTCTGTTGTTTAAACCCCCCAGTTTGAGGTAATTTGTCACAGCAGCCCCAGGAAGCTAATGCACTTTCTGATCTTTTTTTTTTTTTTTTTTTTTTTTTATCCACGGGTTAGTTAGAAATGTGTTGTTTAATTTCCAGATATTTGGAGATTTCCCAGCTATCTTTGTGTTACTGGTTTCTAATTCAATTCTCTTGTGGTCAGAAAACACATTCTGTATGATTTCAGCCCCTTTAAATTTATAGAGACCGTTTTACAGCCCAGAAGACGGTCTACCCTAATCCATGAGTGATTATGACGCCCCGTAAAGGTCAGCTGGTGAAGCAGGTTGGCGGTGTTTCTCAAACCTCTGTGTCCTTACTGTTTGTCTGTTGAGCAGTTACTGAGACCTGTAATTGTAGATTCGCTCAGTCCTTTCAGATGTCAGTTTCTGCTTCATCTGTTTTGAAGCTATTATTAGGCACATCTGCTTTTGGGCTGTTAACATAGCTATTCCAGCTTTTCTGTGATTCCTGTTTGCACAGCGTATCTTCCTCCATCTCTGTGCTTCTAATCTATTTGCATCTTTATGTTTAAAGTGTGTTTCTTGGGACGCCTGGGTGGCTCAGTTGGTGAAGCGTCTGCCTTCGGCTCAGGTCACAATCCCGGGGTCCTGGGATTGAGTCCCGCATGGGGATCCTTGTGCAGCGGGGAGCCTGCTTCTCCCTCTCCCTTTGCCCCCAACATGTTTGTTTTCTCTCTCTCTCAATAAATAAATAAAATACTTTTTTTTTTCCCCTAAGGAATATAAGGAATAACACAGAGGACCACAGAAGGGAGGGAAAACTGGGAAGAAATCGGAGAGGAAGACAAACCACGAGAGACTCTGGATTCCGGGAAACAAACAGGGTTACAGAGGGGAGGGGGTTGGGGGATGGGGTAGCCGGGTGATGGGCACTAAGGAGGGCAAGTGATATGATGAGCACTGGGCGTTATACGCAACTAACGAATCGTTGAACACCACATCAGAAACTAACGATGTACTATATGGTGCTTACTGAACACAATAATAAAAAATAAAATAAAATTCCAAAAACAATCAAAAAAGGAATTCATTTTATATAAAAATAAATAAATAAATAAAGTGTGTTTCTTGCACAGAGCATACAGAGGGCCTTAGTTCTTTATTACCCTGATGATTTCTGCCTTCTAGTAGGAGAACGTAGGCCATTCAACTCAAAGCTGACAGATTTGGGAGCTGTTTGTGACCAAAGTTATCCCGCCTTGATTAACACCCCCCACCACGGTCTCTGACAACACCAGTACCAACTCTCACTGCAAAAACGCTTCTTTCTACCAGGACTAGCATCCCCATGTAGCATCCAACAGATGAAGAGTTTCTGTCGTTTAAAAGGAAGAGATGGTGTTGAGGAAGCAGAATTATAGCAGGTGCATCCATAGCAGAGTGCCGGGCTTTGTCCACTTGACAAGGCGGAGACTGCTAGCCTTCAGCATTCCCAACCCAAGTCACATCCTGCAACCCAGAGGGCAAAAGCTTCTTCCTCGTTCTCCAAAATAACACTTGGGAAAGGTCACTCATGATCCCAGCTGTGTCACTCACTGTCTCCTCCAGGGCCCAGCACTGAGGCCAGGAGAATGTCACACTCTCATCCGCGGGCAACACACGGAGCTGGGGAGGACCCCTCCCAACAGAAGTGGGGCACTGGACAGAGGAGACAGCAGATGGACATTTCGTCCTGGTGTGTGGTCGCCTGAGCTTCCCTCTTGCAGACAGAACCACAGAGAAGTATGTGTTCAGGGCTGCACGGACCCCGCGGGGCCGTGCTCCGTGTTGGCCTGAGCACCGGGACCCCTGCCCACTACTCGGCATCCGTGGGACCTGGACGAATCGCCCAGCATCCTGACGACAGGCCCTCCTCGCCCATCAGACCAATAAATCCGACTCTTCCCAACATCTCGGGAGACTAATGCTTCTCGGAACACATTTTTGAAAAAGCTGGGCAATGGAAAAAGAGTGGATTTGGGAGTTGGACTCTAGATCTTTGGGGAGTTTTCTTTCATTTTTGGTGTGGGTGGCGTATTTTATTGAGGAATGTGTGTTTTCAGAAAGAGTGCACGGGTGGCAAACATCTTTCTTTTGCTCTCAAAGTTAAACAGTAGTTTGGGTGAGTGTAAAATTCTGATATCTCCACTCTTTCTCTCAAAATCTCCATAATCCCTGCTTCTTAAATTTAGTGTCTCAGTCAGGACCCCGATGCCAGTCTGCTCTCTCTCCTCTCCCGTGGGAGGGTCGTAGAGTTGTCTTCCACACGGAGTTTGGAGAATTCACTGGTCTGCATTTCTGTGTGGGACGTCCCCCCAGTATTCTGCCCTGACCCTCTGATGTGAAGACTCACCTCTGCTTAGTTCGGGGGTTGCCCCTGTGGTATCTGTTTGCGTATTGCCTCCCCAGGGTCTGCACAACCTTAGTAGTCAGTTACTGCTGCGCCAACGCTTAGTAACCAACCACCCCGTGGTGACCGGCCACGAGCATGCATCGCCCTGCTCTTGGGGTAGCGCAGCCTCAAGCCGCAGGACTGTGGTCCGCGAGGAGGCTCAGCTCCATGGGCCTCGCCTCTGTGACCAGCTGCTGCGACCACGTCCTCCTCATGGCTACGGGAGATGGTCAAGAGCAAAGCAAGTCGTGTGGCCAGATCAACCCCAACGGGACTGAGGAATATACACTACCTCAAGGGGGGAGAGTCCCCAGAGGTGTGGCTCAGGGTGCGGGTGGGGGAGGGCTGGGGCTCGGGGACAATTAAGGCGTCTGCTAATATGGAATGTGGATCCGGGGTCCTGGTTAACATGACCCGCACCTCTGACTCTCGATTCTGTAGTAACTCTCTGTCCCTCCCAGTCTCCCTCTCTCTCCTTCTCTCCCTCCCATCTGATCTTGATTCCAAGTGAATTATACGTGATAGTCTTCTAATTCTGTACTTTGGTTCTAAGCATAACATCAGGAATAAAAATAACCTATCATTTAGCTTCACTGCTAATCAAAGAAATGCAAATGACAGCGCAGGATCACATTGTCCGCTGGACTTGGGGTTCCGGGAAGCAGGCAGCGCCCCTCGCTGCTCCCACTGAGGCTGAGGCTGGGGCTGGAAAGACACCCTCCTGTGGAGGGGTGGACGCCCCTTCCCTGAAGGCTCTCACCTGCTCGCCTCCTCGGGTGCAGTTCCCCTGTGCCTCTGGTTGGTGCTGGAGAGCCTCCCATTCTCCGTGGTGACCTGGAGCCTCCGCCCTTTATGTGGACACTGAGCCAGCGGATCCGGTGCCAATTGTCAGCCAGACATGGCCACCGAGCCCTGGAAGGGGCTGCTCCAAACTGAGACGCACGGTAAGAGCGAAAATCACACTGGGTCAGAAAGGTGCGACACTGGGCGAGACCCCATCACATGCTTTGTACTGGTTACGTGCTGACATGAGGGCGTTTGGGCATATTGAGTTGCACAAAACATACCATTTAAATTAATTTCCGCTGTTCTTTTTTACTTTTTTTAACGCGACTCCCAGAAAGTGTAAAATTCCGTAAGTGGCCCGTGGTATATTTCTATGGGACGTTGCTACCTTAGCTGTTTCCTAACGGCTTTAAGACTTTTAGACAGTCAAGGGGCGCCTGGGTGGCTCAGTCGTTAAGCGTCTGCCTTCGGCTCAGGTCATGATCCCAGGGTCCTGGGATCGAGCCCCGCATCAGGCTCC